ACATCACTGTCCCAGCCCGAATCAGTATGGTCCATATACTCTTTGAATTCCACCAGCATGAAATTTATGTCTTCAGGTCTCGAAGCCTACACCCTAAAACTACTACAAATTTGACCTTCATTCTGTTAAGCTCGAAGAACAACTTTTATTGGTAGATATTTATTTCTTACTAACTTTGATCGTTACCGCACCAAAAGCACTCGGGCCTTGGCGAAAACAAGCTGGCGCTAGAGTATTTTTTCTAATGTGTACCTACGATATATTCAATCCTATTGTTATTATACCCTATATTAGCAATCCAGAATAGCATATGTTATAATGCGGTGTTAATTGGCTTGGCTCGTTTGTAACAGCTACCTAGTTATATTAGATATATGGTTCAACAGGCCTTTTGACGCCGATAAGGTATTCTCACGAGTTTTTGTCTAGATCAAACTTATTAATGCTTTGGCTATCTTTGTAAATATATGTATATATTCGAAATTCATAAGAATACATGTTTATATTTATTAGAACGCCGAAGCTCACGAGACTTGCCAAGGCGCCAATCTGGAAATTTGTATGCCATCTGAGCAGACGGAAAGAGAAACCTTCCAGAACCTCTCATCAAAGAACTGCTCTCCAAATTATTTATGTGAAGAAAGCGATTTTGATCAGTCCCGAGAGCCTTCTGAAACGTACATTACGATAGGTATGGACAAGTATGAATCATTTATACACATAAAATCCAAGACAAACGAGTTCAAGAGAGAATGTGAAAACGAGGACGTCGATGAAGCGAATGTGGCGGCACTTGCCTTATTATGTTCTTCAGCAGACAATGGGATTGCAGTCTACGAAAACATAAGTATCGATGAACGCTACACGTCAAATCCTTCGGACGATTCTTCCAGAACTATAACCTATCAGCAAGACTCATACGACAGTAACTTGACAAACCTTGGGGTCTGCGGTACAGATAACTACGATTACGCATCAGGTGCGACTGTAGATCAATCCAATGAAAACACTGCTCTATACTTCAATGATGAATGATAAATGTATAAATCCAATACCCTCCGAAACGTTTTACTTTTTATGTGGAAAGCGTGGAAAATAACGTTAAAGACGATGCTTAAGAATATAATACATCTAGTGTAAGTCCCTGAATGCATAAAAGTATATGAAAACTAGGTTAAACATTTATTGTACGAAAAATATTTAACCCATCTAAAGACGTGGAAACTAACAGACCTGGCACTTGAGGATGCCAATGTAGTTCCTTTATTTCGTTCTGTCCGTGATGAACAAAGAGTAATTGGACAGGAAATTCTGATTCAGAGTGCAATAAATTTTGATCGGATAAAACTTCCGTGTCCTGTTCTAAAGTTATGTCCCAAAGAGTAATTTGATCATCTTCGGAGGCTGCGGCAAAAACTCCTTCATCTGAGGGATGCCACTCGACTGAAGTTATTGGCTTCTTGTGAAACTATTGGAGGTTACAAAAAATAAACGAATCAATAATAAACCTAATATTTAAATAGTTTATTCCTAATGGATGAAAATGATGTAATTATTTGAATAGTCTGATTATCAAAAGTAAAGGAACAAAATTGATGAAAGAAGCCCACCGTTGCAAAAGAAATTAATTTTGTGGGTTGACCTCGTTGTCGCAACTTGGTCTCGTTGTCCGAGAGACTTAGTAAAACGCACCAAGTCCGAAGTCCTCTGTCATAGTAGTTATCATAATTCCCAGCATCAGACAGTGGACTCCGTACATTATCAAACGTTTCGCCAGCATCATCAGTGAGTGGTGCCATTCTCTGCACCAAACTACGAACTCGTCAGAGACAAGTGAATTCAATCCCTCGGCAAAAGTTTTGCCAAAAACGGTTCACTATCACTTCTCTTTCTGTCCTGGTCTATCTACTCTTTACCCTCATATCAAATTCCCGCTCTATCACAACTTCTCACTTGTTTACATTCCACTCGTCAAGATGTGCCCTTTTGTGGCAAATCTAGTGTGGCCTTATCACGCCTGCTATTCACCCCAACCCCCCCTCTTTCGATCGGCTAATCCAACTCAGACCTCCTATTATTATCTACCTCATTGTCTGGTAAATCCGTTTCTTATCTTTCTGGTTGACAGATTTCATTCGGTTCCAGTCCCACTGTGCGTTTCACTACAGGCGCTATTTCCCAAGACCCTAGAAGCACGTACATTGCCGCCTCAGCGAACAGAACGCCTAAGCTCTGACTTCCATGCTTACAGGTATCAGGCATTGCCTTCACATGTCGTCTCCATGATTAAACCCGTGTAACCTGAGCAAACTGTTGACACCAATGTCTGGTCCCACGTTGAATCTCAAGTGGATTTCTAGTAAATTTTGGCCATGAAATAGAATTTTTAACGGTTTTCTTAGCCGTCCGCCCAGCTCCATGACTGCCAGGCCCCCAAAGTTGTACTGGTTTATTCGAAACGGACACCATTTACTGACGTCTTAGCTTGATTACCGAAACTCCCTGACCCCCATTTTCCTCATCCCGATCCCTTTTCTTCCGGTTGGCGATAGATCCCTGAGCCAGGGGTCTCCTTTTT